TACCGCTTGACCATATATAATATAACCACCATAAAAGAATATGGTGAAATAATTGAGATCCCTTCACTTTAATCAGAAGTGTTGGATTTAAGACTTAAAAATAAAAGACAGATATGTAAGTGTTTTTTTATACGAGAATCTAAATTAACTAACTCAACAAATTTCGAATATGAGATAGAGTAAATCAAAAAAATATCAACTCCCATTCCCTAAGTGTACACAAAAAAGAATAAAAAATAATAAAAGTATTACTAAAAAATAAAAAATTAAAGAAAGAGGAAAGAAAAATCATACCTATCTGTGAACTCCATGTGATGCCTCATTCATTCAAACAGTCATCGTTGGACTATACCAAGGCATTGACTTACGTTCATTTTTGATTTCTGTCTTCTTCAGACATCACAAGATATTCTCAGAGATATGCTACCTATTCAAATTGTTTGACAACTTGGTACTTCTGTTCAGTTACTAAAGAACTAGGGTTAAGTATAAAAACCTCCCTACAGTTAGGGGTGTTCATTGGAGGAGTGGCAAACAAGCGGATTGGGTCGAATATGAGCGGGTCGAAAATGGGTATGTAAAAATGGATAAATATATCCGATCCGGTCCATATTTAATACAGATTATAAAAATCGGGTTAACCGGCAAATAATATGGTTATCCATATTATCCATGACTTCTTGAATATGATAACTTTTGGGAGAAAAGCTTGATAAACCCCAAATTTGAGACTTTACAAATGTAAAAGTTAAACCCATTGGCTATGCATTTCTAAGTGGATAATATGGTTCATATCCATATTTGACCCGCTTTTTAAAAGTTTATTATGCAACCCATTTTTTAAATGAATAATATGGATGGATAACTGTTTTCTTTAGTCCATTCTGCCACCACTTGTTCATTACATAAAATTATTCTTAATAGGAGTAAACTAATCTCCTTTGTCCAATTATAATACTCTCCCTTCAATTGCATAAACCACCAAACTATCTTTACTATTATTGATGCATTCCAGTATGTGAACCAAATGACCTATTAGTGTATTGATTGGTGGGAATGAAAATCGATTTACGCACTAAATAAAAATTTGTGACATAAATTTCACTGTTTTTGAGCCGAGTGTCTATCGGATACAATCTCTTTTTCTTTATAAGGTAGGGATAAGGTCTGCGTACACACTTAGTCTCTCCAAACCCCATGTGTGGAGTTGCACCGGATTTGTTGTTATTGTTGTGAAATCTTAAAGGGGATTACATAGTAACAGAAAATGTAGTAGACCTTTATGTGATTAGGACAATTTATTCTTGTTTTTTTTTAATAATAGAAATTATTTTAAGAGAAAAATAATTTAATTTTATGAAGAAAGTTAGAGTGGACTGCAACCAAAAAGAATCAAGATCTCCTAGGATTCCATTTTTAAGAATCTTTTTATGTTTATTATTAGACTGCCTAATGCCTATGATTGACCTCTATAATGACTGACAAATCATGGAGTTTATGTTAGTTCTTATTAACAGAATTTAATAACCCTAAAGTAATAAATTAATAATATAAATTCTTAATGGATCTTCTTCTTTTACCTTTATTGATAAATATATTAGAATGGTGACAGTTTGGGGATGCATGGTTAGCAAGTGGGACCTAATTTCTTTCATTCTATAATTTAATTTTAGATTAGTACATTAGAATATAGCAAAAGGCTGTCAAAGACGCATCAGTTTTCAGTCAAATTATTACTCCATTTGCCTGACAAAGAAACAGTATCTGCTGGTACTATACATAATACCCATCGTATTACACAGTATCTCCGTTTTCGTAACATTTCATGATACGGTAAGATGGGTAAATTAGAAAGCAACACGTGTCAATCAACAGTAATTTAATTATGTTCACACCGAAACAAACCTGTGACGGATAAGATATACATACGGAATACAAACAAGTGGCTGGATAAGAAATAATTCAAGATATGACTGTTACAGAAACATTACAAAAAACCCCAAGATTCTTCCGGCCTTTATATAAGCCCTTATGGCTTTATTATCCTTTATTATTCTTTATTATCTTTAGTTGTCTTTTATTATAGCATTAATAATGATAATAAAGGGAGCAAGAATAGCTCTAGTATAAATACACGTTTTCATTCACATGAAGAAATACCGATAGCAAATGACTAATATTTCTCTCAAGATTTATACAAGTGTTGTCGAGATCTTCCAATTATTCTTGATCCCGATGGAAACATTCTAAAAGCCCTAGCTTGACTTTTCTTCAATTATTCTTATTTTACTCTGTTTGCACTTTTTTATTTCAATTTATCAGATCAATTTAATCCATGTGTTTATAAACCACAGTACAAATTCAACTGTACCGTTTTTTTCGGTAAACAAGGACAATGAGAAAAAATAAATTTTCAGGAAAGCAAACAATATTTCTTAACATAAGGGGAAAAAAGGATGAGCAATCAAACCACTTTTATGGTTATCTCCACAGGTTAATCAAGATACGAGATGCGGTTTAGGGCATTTACTATTAAGAACTTGTAAATAAGGTTAAGCAAAAGAATGATGAATCTAAATATTGAAAAGACGTTAGTTCACCGCATATTATCTTAGAACTTTTTTAACCCAAACATTTATATCATTATGTTAGAAAAAGTAAAATAAAAAGGAGAAGCCGGGTAGAGTCAAAGTAAAAGTCCAAACCTCGATTTATTAGTCAACTTGGTTTGGCATCTTTGTACTAACTAATCAAATACTATAGTAAAAAGCGCAATTTCCCTAGCAGAAATTTCAAACGGTCAAATTGTTCCTAATAAACAATCCCTAAATCTCAACTGGCATTAACTAAATAAAGAACTAAGTCCAGCCTATCAACTAATTAAATTTTAATAAAGGAAACCCTAAGAACAAGAGAAATTAAAGATCAAAACGAGACGTTTGCGGTTAAAAAATATTTTACCAAAGAGGAAACAGCCAACAATCACATGTGAATGCAATAAAAAAGTTATTTTACGCGGCAGCTTTTTGATTTTGATCTTACTCTTCACTAGTATGGAAGTGAGTGGATACCAACTGATCTGATCTAATCTAATCAGATGATTCAGATCACTACCCATATGGTTTTCTTACCTAAGTTCACATTATTTATGAAAAACGTTAAAAAGACTACTGTGTTTTGTCAGTTATATTGATTAATTTGGTTTTAACTACCTTTTTTTTTTTTGGCAAAAAAGTTATTCCTTAATCATTAGGATTCTCACTACCAACTAAATGGTTTAGATGCATGAACTGTTCTCCCTCTCTAAACTTAACTACCCACCATATTTATTATCTTTTAATAAGCAATTTTGAGTAGAAATATTTCAAATCAAAACTCAGAAAAGTCTATTTAAATTGATGGCAATATTGTTGAGAATCCTTTTTTATGTTTGTTGGCTAGGGCCAAAAACTGCTCTTAACTTATGTTTGTTGTAACTAAGTAACTAGAAAATAATCATTAGGATATATAGATGCTGGGAAAAGAATGTATAGTGGTGGACAGGCAAAGAACTCTGAAAACCGTCTTAAGTTACGGATACTACAAAAGTCAAGGATAAATATCTCTCCTTTCAAATTTGATATACACATTCCCTTTTTATTTTTTGGTAACACTATTTTAATATTTTTTTTAATAAAAAGGAAAATTTCAAAACATATAAATACTCATAAACGCTGTACATTGTGGTTATGCATTTAATAAGTACTAAGTCATGCTAAAATAAGTAGACTAATAAGAGAGCATTAATTACATGACTAAACGCTGAAGAAAAAATAAAAATAGGTTATGCATTTTTATCTAAATTATTGCAAAACAAAAAAAAATAGATATTGAATACATTGTGGTTCGTAGAATTGAATTGAATGTCTTTTGTTAGCAATAATATTGATTTGATTTTGGTTTGACCTTTTGTTAGCATTATTTAAGTTATTAATATTAATGGCTATAAAACTTATTGGAACATTCAAAAGTTCTAAGTCCAACCTTGAAATAATATATTAAAAGATAATATTATAAAAAAGTTTAAGAAATATTTATAAATTACATCACAATAAGTATATTTATATATTAAATATATCTAATATTTCTATATATGTAATGTCGGGTTGGTTTGGTTTCGGTTTTACTTTCTTTAGTTAAAACCAAACCAAACCACTTATGGTCGGGTTTTGTTTTCTAACACCAATCCAAATCAAACCAAACTATATATAGTCGGGTTTTTTTTCTCGGTTTGACTCGGATTATCGGATTGGTGCTGTTTGTCAGTTTCCTTTGTACACGCCTAACGCTAAGTATTCTTTTACGGTTATTTAGGTTTTTTTATATGTCTAAATTTTAGTGGACATAATTATTCAATACTTAAATTTATAAAAAAATATACTACATATATACCCGGTGGTCTAAATGCCTCAAGTTCATGAGAACACTTATAGATCGTTTGGTAAGATGTGTTAGGGGAAAATAATACATGTATTAGTTCTGGTAACCCCTTATTTGATAGTGTTTTCAACTTAGGATAGTATTCTAATATCCTATGTATAACCAATACATAGCAAATCATGACATTAGTAATACCGTGGTTTTTAATGCATGGATAAGCATGTATACAATCCTATGGATGCATATTATTTTTAATACACTAAACCAAATAATGAATAAGAAATAACCCCAGCATAACTAATTCTAACATAATTAATCCCAATATTACTAATACACCGTAACAAACAACCCCCGAAAAGAAATCTAGTGAAGGATATACTTTGAAACTTTTCAGTAGTCACTCTTTTTACACATATACATTGAATTTTTTTCACTCTTGCCTATCTCATCCTAACACCTGTCTATATTAATAAAGCATATATAGTACCAAACATAATATATTAACAATTAATATCGAGAACAAAATAAAATAACGTAAAATATATCATTGAGACTATCAAATTCAATCTCCAACGAACCCCATCTTTACCAATCACCACCTTTATAAACTCAAAACCTAGTTCGCCATTTCCCTTCACTCCTCTCACCACCCCCTCCCATTTACACATTTCTCAAATCAAAAGCTATCTCACCTATTCATTTTGTTCATTCTGTTCATTAGTGCATCAACTAGTAAACCAGGAAAATGACACAAATGGGACGACAATGGTGGCTCAAAACCACCACCTCTACAACCGCCGGAGCCACGGCGGTAGACACCCTTTACGGCGGTGGTCGCACCACCAGAAGTTGTAGTTCAACATCATCAGAAAATAATACTGCAATGAGCTCATGTTGTGGGCTATCAAGATTAATGAGGAAGTTGAAGAGACGTAGCAATAAAATGTTGAAAACAGCGGCGAGTAGTACTACGTATACTAGTCGACAATCATCGTTCCAATGTCGGTACGATCCACTTAGTTATGCATTGAACTTTGATACAAGTGGAACTGGAAGTTTATTGGACGAAGATTATTACAAGTTCTGTGCTTTTTCTTCAAGGTTTGTTGCTACACCAAAAGCTGATCATCACTGTCAAACTTTAATGGCTGCTGCTTCCCACTAATATAAAGATCTAGTGGGAAAAAAGAAAATTAAGCAAAAAAAAGGGAAACGTATGTATCATTTTATCATATTATTTCTTTTAAACTTGATGGATATGAAAATGTTGTATACGGCTTATTAATTTGAGGATAAGAAATCCCAAGTTTTGGAGGAACGTAAAGGAAATGTCTTCAATCTTTACTTTGTTCCCTGTTCTTCTCTTTAACTTATCTTATATATATATGAAGTATATTTAACTTCTGATATTCTTTCTAGATAAATTCGAATAGTAGCCCAAAAAGAAAAACAAACCTCATAAAAGGTTTTACACAGTTAAGTTAAAATTACCCTCAGGTAAATGTTTAGACTAAAATTTAATTTGCTGATCTAGAAAATAAAGCACACGATGTGGCCAGAGGCGGAGCCAGGATTTCAAGCTTATGGGTTCGGATTTTAATTGTTTTAAGTTACTGGGTTCTAAAATAATAATTTATACATATTCAATGAATTTTTTAAAACAAATACATGGTTCGAATCAAAGCTACTGGGTTCGGTCGAACCCGCACTTAGCTCTCTAGCTCCGCCCCTGGATGTGGCGTAATTAACAGGTTAAAATACACGATAGTCTGTATAAATTAAATCAAAATATAGTACTTCCTCTGTTTTAATATATGTGAACATATTTGACTGGGCACGTAATTTAAGAAAAAATGAAGACTTTTGGAGTTTGTAGTCCTAAATAAGTCAGAAAGGGGTCCAGAATATTTGTGTAGTTATAAAAGGTTCTCATTAAATTAAAAGTAGAATTTTAAGTTTAAGTTAAATTGTTTTCAAATTTAAAAAAATGGATCATTCTTTTTGGAATGGGCCAAAAAGAAAATAAATTCAGTAACTGAAAACGGAGCAGTGGTTTCTTACTAGTGACTGCAGTGGTAAACAAATATGGATAAAAGCTTGCAAACCACTCGAGCTCTACCTCGACTTTTTTTCACGACAAACTTGCTTTATACCTTTAAATCCCATAAAATTAGCTAAATAACATTTTGCTCATTTAGTTTTCTGTGTTGGAGCGTGAGGGGTGGGGGTGGCTACAAATATTAATAAAAAGTGTGCATGCATGTTGGTTTGTACAATTGTGTGTGTGTGTGACAAAGAAAATGTTTGGTGAGCATGTGAAAGTGCCATGTGCTACCATTTCCAACAAATGTAAAATTATTATTAAGTGTACTATGTTTCAAAGGTCAGAATTCCGTGAACAGTGGACCACCAAACATGGTGTTAACAAAAAGGTTCCAGCATGGAAATCACACTTTAAAATAAAAAATGGAGTACTCATTAGTACAATTCTTAAATAGTCACTAGTAGTAGTACATTAATAAAACAGCCTTTCGGTTTTTAATTTAGGCTTATACAAGCTAATGTAAAAAATGAATATGAACCACGCTTATTGCTAAAAAACAAAATATATTCTAGCGATGGAAAATTCACAGGTTCAGTTTATTCAAGAATTCTCCCCAAGTCTCATAGTAGTAAATTTGCGTCTAAAAATATAGTAGTAAGTACTACACTCCGTCTACCCTCCTGTGTCTTCTTTTTTTTTTTTTCTTTTTTTTTTTTGGTTCAAAAGATAATATTCATTAATTAAAAGTTATGCGTACAGAGATATTGGTGCTCAGGTTGCACCATATTACAAACGATAGTATCACTAGTAGTACATACACTGTTTGTGGTATTCATAACGGAAGTATCATAAGTATGTTAGTGTATAGAATATTATCGTAATCTAGTATAGTGATTACCTCCCTTGCATCTGTTTCCACTTGCAGTGGTATTAGACTTAGTTGACCAGCTAGTTGAAGCCCCTGGATCAGTGCCTGAAGTTCCGCTACAATAGAAGTTGATTGTGGTATATTTTGTGAGAATCCCACAATCCAGTCTTCGAAGTGATTACGAATTACTCCACCGATGCCATCCATATTTGATCTTAGGGAATGGGCTCCATCCGTATTTAACTTGTAAATATTTGGTGCTGGAGGAATCCATTTTAAGGGCAATTTTAATTCTCATAGGTCTTGTGTGAAGTGAAGCTGCCAGGTAGGCATACTCTATGCTTTATTGTATTGTATAACTTTTGCTAACAGTAGCATGGCCTTGTTCGTAAAGATTTCTATTACGAACGAGCCAAATATGTAACGACCCGACCGATTTTAAGCTTCAACGCGTCGTTCGGCAGTTAGAGGCCATGAGCAGCTTCACTTCAGGTATTATGACCTGTACACGTGGTCGGAATTGAATTTCGGGAAGTTTGGAAAGAAAATTCTCATTTTGAAAGCTTTAAGTTGGATAAATTGACTAAGATTGAATTTTTGAGTAAACGACCCCGGAATCAGGATTTGGAAGTTCCAGCATGTTCGTATGATGATTTTGGACTTGGGCGTATGTCCGGATCGGGTTTTGGATGACCCGAGAGCATTTCGGCGCCTATTGTGTAAGTTAGCATTTCGGTACGGAGACGCCTGTACTTATCTTCGAGAGACTATAGGGCTATTAGGAGCACTTCCCTTCTTGATTCCCTCATCGTGCGATTTGATCCCTTTGAGGCTGATGCCCTTGTTTCCTTCCTATTCAATCTTATGCGACGCGAATTGCCTATTATAAATCAGAATTGAGGAATTTTAATGGTACTACAGATGTGGTGCGAGATGTTTCTGCCGGCGTAGTTGGTTGGACTATTGTCGTCACCTTGCGGAAGGGTATTATGTCATTTCATCTCAGTAGCTACACTTCTGAAGCTTGAGGCTATGCGCAGGTTGCTATGATACTCATGATTGGTTATCGCACAGTGTTGATGTGATGGTAGGATACTTGCTCATGTGTCGAGTCAGAGGGTGACTTGAAAGGAGGTCTACTCAGTGCATGATTCAAAGATTCGGTATTTTATTTCCGGCGGAGGAAAGGAAATCGAACTATAAATGATCCGGTTTGGGTTGATGGAGTAACGAGACTTGGTGTTTTCAAGTGTGGTGGAATTTTTATCTGCGACGTGGTGACGTCGTCCTCAATTGTACGTGTTAAGTTCGTCGGTGTTATGATCTTCTACAATTCACCTTTGGAGCAGAATTGTGAGGTAGTATTGAAGAAGCGACTGCCAGAGATCGCGAGGTGTGATTGTTCAGGATTGAATCGGTGTTTCTAATATCAACGGCTCGGGAAAGATGATCTTCGGAAAGGTTTAAAGTTAGTAGCGGTCTGTTGGTTCAAGTGCTACCGAGATAGGTTTTGATCTAAGGCATCAGCTGAGCAGCAAAGGATGAGGAAGGACATGTGGGAAGTGTCATGTGGTGATTAAATTTCTAGAAGGCCGGGTGTAAGAAGCGGAAGTCGAGTAGTTGCTTAAAGAAGAGGGGTTTGGCCAAAGTGGGAGAGTGGCAGAGTAGCATATTGGCTCAGTGGCAGGATAACTACACACATTGAGGAAAGTTTGGACTGACGTGTGAACTTTGGTGGATGGTGATTGGGTCCACGGGCTTGATTTAAAATATCGGCTATTATACGGCGGAAGATTTGATACGGCAGAAAAAAGTTGCTTGATATGAAGAAGGATACAACATGACTTTGGATTAGAAGGTATTGTCACACATTTAGTTGATAACCATGAGGAGTGAATGGGCTTGTACAGCTAGCGAATGAGCATGGCTCAAGTTGGGTTACATATTTCGTAGTAATCGTGTAGTGCAGCGTCGTTGGGAGACGTCGGCATGTAATTTCCACAGGTGGGTTATCTTTTATGAGCAGGTTAGCGGTCGCGTGGTGTTGACGAAGCTTATGCGAAGAATTCTACTGGATATCTAGTAAGAAGTCGAATATGTCAATGTTGCTAGAGATTCATAGTGTTCATGAAATGCTAACAGAAGGATTTCGAGGAATTTGACGGTTTGATTGCGCAAGTTTAGGTCAATAAGAGATAAGGAATCTTGGTGGGTTCCATAGTTGTGTAATGGTGGCTTTAAGCTAAGTGGGAGAGTCCCACCGCCTACAATTGGGTTGCATGGTTATCTACTTGTGAGGTTTCTGGCTATCGGCATAACGGCGAGTTATTTCAGCTAAGATAAAAGAATATAAATGGTAATTTGAGCAAATTATTTGAGAGATGTGTACCCTAAATGGCCTTATCGATTCTTGTTCGGGCTTTGGGAAGACTCAGGATTTGTGTTTCGTACGGAGGTGATTTACAAGGAAGTGATTCAATCGGGCGCCCCATGGAGATGGGTGTCCATGTACCAACGGAGCCTTAGAATCGATTATACTCGGGACCAAGCCAGAGTAGGTGACTCTCAACAACGGTCCTAGTGAATTCAAAGGTTAAAAAATGCGGCGCCTAAGGATTCAAGCCCGCAGTATGGTTAAGAATCAAGCTTTTGTATCAGATTGTGATAAGAGGCTCGGAATGATCTATGATATTTTTGACTTGCAGTATAGCATTGGGAGGAAAAAGAGAAAAAGACTTCGGATTCATAGAGGAATTATCAGAATGGGTGCATCAGTTAAAGATGCAAATATGCGTGCAAGGAGGGTATGAAACGGTTCATGGGTTTGGAGACAATGTGGTCTTATGGAATGGGGTCACTCAAGATGAGTGCGGATTTAGGTTGGTGATGTAAGGAATGGAGCTAATATTATCTCTAAGGCAAGTTAAGGATGAACTAGAAGAAGTTAGATTGGTCAGCCATGGTTGAATTGGCATAGTGGTGGCGGTACGTATGAGGCTCGACGGCCACCGCAATTGATTATATTTGGAAGTATTCAAGTATTATGGCATGTCCTGTGTAGGCGGATCCCGGAAGGGTTATGGTGGTTTAGATCACTACTTGAGGATTTGAATGTTCTACGGTTATGAGAAGTTACTCGCGTATTGCTATGATTCTCTTGGAATAAGTTAAGTAAAAGGTTTCTGTATGATGAAGTGTATACTCTATAAGTGGTTCAGGATGTTGATGAAATTCTTATACTGTCGCATATTGGCATGTTAGGTGCAGTGAGCGGTATGAAAACTGAATGTGAAGAACCGAGGTTACGGTTCGGTGTTGGCAAGGATGTCATGAGCTAGGATGAGCGGGAAGGGGATTTGAATGTTTGGAGCAAGCTGGTATTGTCTTCAGCGTCACCTGAGATTGGTGTTTTGTGAAAGAGGCTTTGCAACCTGGT